TAGAAAAGTAACACAGTTAGGTTTCTAAATGCATGGGTTTGAGTCCTACGTTAGGTGTGTGCGTATGTGTGTACGTATTTATGTACACCACACACACAGATGTGTATATATATATATATATATATATATATATATATATATATATATATATATATATATATATATATATGTAATATGTATGTGTTGTGTGTGTGTGTGTGTGTGTGTGTGTGTGTGTGTGTGTGGTGTGTGTGTGTGTGTGTGTGTGTGTGTGTGTGTGTGTGTGGTGTTGTGTGTGTGTGTGTGTGTGTGTGTGTGTGTGTGTGTGTGTGTGTGTGTGTGTGTGTGTGTTGTGTGTGTCTGTGCGTGGTGTGTGTGTGGGCGTGTGTAAGTATATATATTCATATATTCGTGGGTGTGCACAGTATACGTATACATATGTACATATGTATAAACATACACGCTCAGCATTTCTTATCTAGCAAGTACTTATGTGCGTGTATTTCAAGGACTTTAACGAAGTTTCTTAATTAAAAGTTTCCCCGCCAGAGTGCAGCTCACTCCCGCCGCACGCACTCGCCGCACGAGGTTGTAGGGGTCATTAACATACTAAGCAGGGTGTGAACGGAGATTGGCGGGTTGGGGGTGAGGAGGGGGAGGGGTTGGGAGAGGGGGAGGGAGAAAGGGGGTTGGGGGAGGGGGGGATGTGATGGTTGGGGGGTGGGAGGGGAGAAGGAGGTTGGGGAGGGGGAGGGAGGAGGGGGGGATTGTTGGTGGTTGGGAGGAAGGGTTGGAGGGGAGTGAGGGGATACTGGGCTGGGGAGAGAAGGAAGGGGAGGGTGGTATTGGGTGGTTAGGGGGGAGGAAGGGAGGAAGTGGTTTATAGACGGAGCAGGATGGATCTGGCTTGGAGTCTGAGGAATAGGGGGGTAGGGGGGTCGGTAGAGGGGGGGGTTAACATATGCCTATAATCTCGTTTTCTCTTTTTTTCTTTTTTTGGTAGATAAGTAGTTTAATATAAACGTCAGTGCACGAAGTAGGGGAAACCGTGGAGGGGAGGGGGTTTAGGGGGGGGGGTAAGGGCTGCACACGAGACGGTGGCCGGGGGGTGAAGGAGAAGGTGGAAGGGGGGCATGGAGAGAGAGCTATAGATTTAAGATGTGAATATAAATGGTCCTGTGAATTATGGTGTGTACCATATTAATGATAATAGGTCTACTGAGAAGTGTTTTGATATATAGAATTTTAAGATATTTACTATTTTTTTCTGATAATTGAGTCGGTACTGAAATAATAGTATTGAATTCTCCACTCTCTCTCTCTCTCTCTCTTCTCATCTCTCTCTCTCTCTCTCTCTCTCTCTCTCTCTCTCTCTCTCTCTCTCCTCTCTCTCTCTCTCTTCTCTCTTCTCTCTCTCTCTCTTTCTCTTTTCTCTCTCTCTTTCTCTCTCTCTCTCTCTCTCTCTCTCTCTCTCTCTCTCTCTCTCTCTCTCTCTCTCTCTCTCTCTTCTCTCTCTCTTCTCTCTCTCTCTCTCTCTCTCTCTCTCTCTCTCTCTCTCTCTCTCTCTCTCTCTCTCTCTCTCTCTCTCTCTCTCTCTCTCTCTCTCTCTCTCTCTCTCTCTCTCTCTCTGTATATATATATATATATATATATATATATATATATATATATATATATATAATATATATATATATATATATATGACAAGAAAGAAGGAAAAAAATCTATCATGTTATCGATCTTCTGGTGATAAATATGATGACAAATATGAGGAAAAAATGGCAGAGCAAAGATTGGTCTTATGTCTGTTATAAATGCTTTGATTTTTGTAAATAATAAGTGATGATGACGATAGGATTGGCATTAATGATACTATGATAACTTATAATGATCATATTAATGACAATAGCAATGATATTGATTATCGAGGTAAGTTATTCTTACTATATTCATCAAGAATAAATAACACGAAAAGCCAAACCAATTCTTATCATCATGAATTATCAAAAAATATGTATATATTAAAGAATATCAATTATTAAATTAAAAAAAGAATTAATAGAACTGATATCAAAACCAATCTTTGTAACTATCAATTTTATCTTATAATTCTTCTGCCATTGATGTTAAGGGAAGGGAAATGACCATTTCAATGTCTCATTTCGGACTTTCCTTTTGTGAGACTTTTCCTTTTTTCTCAGAAAATGGCGAGGTCGGACTCTCCCATTTTCTCCTTCGGATTATTCTAAGAAATCAGACATTTTTTTTCCATAAAACTCTTTGTATTGCCCTTTCCAGTTTCTTATGCTTGACTTTCAGAATTGTTTAAATATATTGGACTTATCAGGCTTTCAGTTTCAGTCTCTTATGTCAGTATTCAGCCAGACTTTCAGCAAGACTTTTCCAATCCTTCAGTCAGATTTTTTTCTCATTCGGACTATTCTAAGAAATCAGACATTTTTTCCATATCGGATTCTACCAGTCTTTCGATAAAACTCTTTGTATTGTTCTTTCCAGTTTC